GTCTTATTTTGAACATTCTGAATGTCTTGACATACTTGCGATATCGAATCTTTTCGTGAAAAGGAAACGGTTGGGACATTACTCAAGATGTTGATTTAAATGCTCGCTCGTTGTTGAAGCCATTATTTGGTGTAAATATATATTACAAAATCAAATAAGTATATTTTTCTACTCATTAAGGTTGAAGTTTGTCATTTTCCCATCGCTGGCAGTGGATGAAATTTCATTTCACCCTCTAGTGGAAAAATACTCGGCCGTCTACGATTTTAACGGGTCGTCCAGCCTGAGCGTTTCGCAGCTAGCGAAACGTGTCGCGTATCGCCTGCACCGACCGCACCGTCCGCTTCGCGCGCTTCGAAAATCATGACGCCTAGGCTGGACGACCCGTTAGTGTTTGACGTTTAATACTGCTAGTTTATTTCCTAATTTCTTAGAAAAAATAGTATATGCAACTCGCGGATGAAGAAATTTCAACGGCTCGAGTTTCTTTTTCGCACTCGCTCGTTGCACTCGCTCGTGTGAAAAAATCACTCTCGCCGTTGAAATTCAACTTCATCCACTAGTTCCATAATGTACTATATCACTCACAGTCAAAATCTTGGAAAAAGTGCTTGTCATTAATAATTTTCCGTGATTCTAAATAATGGTTGCCATTCGACCTAAACCAAACTGGAAACACTCGTATTCCAAGTCTACTGAATATTGATAACGCATTTAGTGACTTCTTTAAAAGTCTCTTATATTTTCTCTGACCCTGATGTGAACTTGGAATCACAAGTATACATTTTTGAACAAACAAATCGACAAAAACTCTGAAAATCTGAAATTGGTACGAATCTAACTGATTCCTAAGCCAACTGTTATCATGTATTTGTTTATTATATAACATCAGAAAATATTTGTGTCAGGAAAAAGTCTAGTTTTAAAAACAATGTTCTTGTGGTACGTGTTAAACACGCACAAACGAGAATTAATACACATTTCTTGAATAGCAGGTTTGTTTTATCAAATGTAATATAACACAGCACGGCCCAGAATTAAACGTAATGTATATTTTCAGTGCTAATTGAAATAATTTGTTTGAGAATGAAATATAAACGACAGTTATCTATTTATTCCACTTAAATGTTTTTTATATAAAAAAAGAGTACGTCGACCCAGGGACGCACGGTTGGAATTTGAACTCTGCGTTGTCAATTTATATAAATTAAACACGAATACGCGGCGCAGTCATTAATTTACTCTTAAAAAATAACAAAAATATGTTGAATTTGTATTTTTTGACAAAAGGATGATTAATGATGGTGATAAAGTAAATATCCATGTATTGTCAATTGTTGTTTATTATAGTAATATTGTATAAAACAATTAAAGAACAATGTGTAATTTACTATATAAAATAACAAGTAAATATTTACAAATGCTAGAGCAGTATTTATAACTTATTCGATTTAAATTACACTAACCGGCAAAAAAAAATCGGCCACCCTGAAAAATTTCGCAAAACCAAACTTTAAAAATTATTAAATTACCTAGTGATCGTTATTTTATCAAAGAACTATTCACTATTGACAGATGATGTATAAATTAGCAAAAAAAAAGAAGACAAATAAACGCAGAATTAAATTTAATTTAACAAAATAACACAGCGACAATTTGAGAGACGTCTGTAAATGTTAACGGCATCGATTTCCCGTGAAAACGTTTATTAACTGCTAAAGTTACATGTAATCAAATGAACACTGTTTACAACAACACCCTCCTTTATTGTTTTAATTAAGAAAATATCGTACTTGGTCTGTTTCTGTTATTTTGTTAAATTTAATTTAATTCTGGGTTAAAGAAGGCATATTCTTTTTTTGCTCATTTGTACAACATGTGTGTCAATAGTGAATGTTTTTTTAAGAAAATAACGATCACTAGTTAAATTAATAATTTTTAAAATGGTTTTGCGAAATTTTTCAGGGTGGCCAGTTTTTTGCCAGTCAGTGTACAAATTACTGTTCAATCATCATTTGATACAGTTATTAGTGTCCTATGGTGACTAAAATAAGTAATATAAATATCAGTTCTTAAATGAGTAACAAAACGTGCGAAAACGGCATCAATTGTTGTGCCTAGTTTAGTCGTTGGAACAGTCAAATGAACACATTTTATTAAATAGTTCGATCTCCCGATCACGCCCACGCTACTCTCGCGCTCCCACTCCTCTTGACTCAACCTCGCTCCAGTTGCTACTTACTATCGCTGCGAACAGGAGGCGCTGCCCGTCAACGCTTACGCGCACTAATCGGCTCACCGCAATATAGTTGGCTCCAAGAATAATTCATCCTGAGGATCGTTGGTGGTCTAAATACGCAATGAATTCTGACAGTGGGTGTGGGTTGTGTTCTCTTGGAGCATTCTAGGGGTCCTAAAAAGTGGAATCAACCACTGTCTGAGGCTTTCATGTACATATTGTTTGACAGTTTATTTCTCTTTCTTTCTGGTGACCTCGACACCAACACCGACACCGAGCTCGTAGCTCGACCTCGAGATCCTATACCGGCGCGCGTCGTATACGTGTTCTATATTACGACAAGAACGGACTTAAAACTCCAAAAAACTACAATTGCGGTCGCTAAAAATAATTATAAATCAAAAAACAAACAACTTTTTAAATGTTTTCGGTATAATAGTGTTCGTCGGCAAATTACGCTGGAACCACGCTCGTTTAAATAACTTTCCTCTTCATTATACTATCACAAACCGTCAGGAACATCTGCGATCTATCCATTTAAAAAGACTTTATCTTTCCATTAATATTTATACCGTACGACAATTTGCATAATGGACTCAATCTATTTACTTTACAGATTAAATTTTGTTGATTTATTATCCTGCATTATACATAACGATTTAAATGTGGACGTGCTTGAAAGACAATCTAAATCCGACGCCTACGATAAAACAAAATCGTAAATATTAATCCGCCGGACGGGCTAAAACGGCCAAACAAATAAAATATTAACATCGTTTTAGACTTTATTTAGAGCAAACGAATAAAACTCGATTTCTATCTCGGCACACTCGGTTCTAATGCACTGGACAGATATATTATTAACAACGATATAAACCTCGTTTAAACCAAATGAATGAAATTATATTTTCTATGCATATTTGATCACAGAAATGTGGATTGTTATTATAAATATTAAGTGGAACAACAGCTATAAAAATCAAATAAAATAATAATAAATTCAGTATTAACTTCAACGGTATGTTTTTTTGTGTGTAAATCTGTCCTGCTGTTTTTTAAATACTTTTGTGCAGAAATAATGGGATTAGAGCTGCAGTGGTTATTTGATTAGTGAGCAGATTTAATATCGTAGCTGCGCTTTATTTTAACTTAATATGCTTTACACTATACGGTTTGAGTTGGAAATCAAATTTCGCAGTAATATTTTGTTAATTTAATATCTTAATAAAAGCGTCCTCTTTTAATCACTAGGATCTATTCTTCTAGAATTGTAAATGAAGAATGGAACTACGAAAGCTTCGTTTTACACCCACTGAAGTAATTGGAGCATGTTTAAGAAAGATAAATACAGAAGTCAAACCTCCGCATCGATATCAAGTTTCCAGTTAAAACTTGAGCAATATTTATTAAGACCTTGAAACCGGTGTTGTTTTTTGAAATTTCCAAACATTTTTTAATTATTGTTTGTTCCACTTTCGTGAAACTTTTACGATGTTTATCTTGAATTTTTTACAAGTTCGATTAACTCCGTTAAAGGTGTATTGTGCCTACCTGAATTATTTATAGCTTTCACAATAAAGTTACAATTTATTTTAACAAAGGATAAATTTCGTAAAATATCTTGAGTTTTTAACTACGGTATTGATCTCTGCATCAAACCGTAAGACGGTTCTTTTATAGTCTGGAAATGATTAACATAAAATATTGCTGCTTCCAACCAGTTACCCCATCTCGTTCTGAATACAATTGAATTCTGAACGGACACTTCATATTTCTTGTTGCCAATGTGCTGTTAACGTTATGAAATTATTTAACCTTTCCTACTATTCAAAATGAATAAATTATCGCAACGTCATTCATAAAAACAAAGAAAAGCATCGGGGCAAGAACAAATCCTTAAACACCGAATAATACGTTGGTCTTGTTTTAGTAGAAATTTGAAAGAAACTAATGGGTTACTTATGGGTTGTTTTAGAACGATTTTGAAAGGATGTTCGAGGTGTCGAGTCTTTTGAAACAAGTTTAGAGATTCTCAAGAGACCCCGGATCTCATAAATTCAATTCTTTGACCACCACTGTAGGGCGTTAGATTTATATTATATATATAAAAAAAATTCAGTTTAACTTGGAAATTTCAATAACTGGAAAAACAAATCTCGTAAAATAAGCATTACTTTTTTGCATACATTATAAAATACTATAGATATAGCATAAAATCCGAGCTCTAAAAATACACAATATTCTTCCATCTGTCGCAGAGTAGAGCCTTCTTTGTGCGTTCTCATCCCAGTGACTATTCAACGTCGAACTTTCCCAAACCACACGGGACGTCCAACTTTTCATAACTCGCCCCTTTTTAATCCTTCCAAATATCCGGTCACCCACAAACTTCGCTAAAATTTTCAAAGCATACAACTTGTTTACGTCCTCGCATAGTCTTTTTAGCAAACTCCGCGCTTCGCAACATACAAATTCTATATTTATCCAAAAAAAATAAGACAACTTCGATCTCTTATCCTTTGATTACAGCTACATCAAAGCTGAATTCCTTTTACTTTAATTCCATTCCACGACATCCAGGTGCGACAAATTGCACTTTTTCCATTATTCCAAGTGCATTTCCGCCTCTGATCCGTTAAATCAGTCTAAAATGATCCAGTCTGCAAATTTTTAAGAGAAATTACTCGACGAGAAGCTTAAAGAAAAGCTGCTAATGAAGAGGTCTTTGCACGATTTTAACTAATTTGCATTTTTATTGCAGAGCGTATCTGTGACGGTATCCGTATTAACGTTGACTTTCATATCAATTGATCGATGGTATGCCATCTGCTTCCCTTTGAAGTTCAAGTCCACCACCGGGAGGGCCAAAACCGCCATCGCGATCATCTGGATCGTCGCACTGGCGTGTGGTGAGTAAAGTTCGTTTATGATATTTATGCTCATATTTTAATATTATGAACTATAAATTCCAATAAATTTCGAGAACAAGATCCAGACGCACTGAGAAATATGTTATAATTGGGTGTATTTTATAGTTTAAACTTATTATCTTGGGGATAGCATTAATATATTTGATTTCAAGATTTGTTTTACTTGTTTGAGTTAGAACGTGAAGCACTCACCGCCGACCCTTTTCAACGCGTGTTTAACATTCCCGTCGAATTCCTTTTTCTTAGGTAGATTGATGCGTTTTACCAGTAGATCATCCGCGAAATAAGGGTCAGACCTTGCGGATTCACTTTAATGCGCTATCCAATACCCCTCTTATTAAAGGAAATTGGATTTGATTCAATCTAGTGAAAGATTTTAATGGAAAGTTGTAGTTGAAAGGGTCTCGAATGCAAAAGTGGACGGTTCGAGCTAACCGTCATCAATAATCATCACTCGAAGTTAAAACGCAAACACCTAGGGTTCTTAGGAGACGCGCTCGGCAACACAAATACTAAGCAACGTCTGAGACAACTTCGCTGCGGAAGCGCTGATGTCTTGTTTATCTCACAAGTTTCTCGATGAAGCTTCCAACAATAAAGTTGGGGACAGGTTGTGCGAGCTTTCATTTAAAGAATCATTATTTGACGTAAAGCTTTTCTCAACTTTTCAGACGACACGAAAGACGGCTTTTGGTAAAGCTCTTAAGTAGTAATCTGTGCGAAAATTTCGCTTTAATTATTTGTTGGTCGATCAATAAGGTTAATAGATGTATTTACTTTTACTTTCTGAGCGTAAACTAAGGGAGTATAAAATTCGTTTCATAGACTGATTCCAAGAAAAAAAGTAAAATTTGTTTTTAATAATTTAATTGGTAAATCGCTTAGCAAAACTGTGACCTGACGACAACAAATTTTTGATGGGGATGATAAGATAAGTCAAGGTTAAAATTTGACCATCTACACGATATTCTTAAAATAAAATATATCTAAAATTGTACAGTTAATATTTGTTTCATAGATAAAATTAATTTAATTTTAGATTTTATAATTTATGAGATATTTATTTCTAAGTTTAGAATTATAATACGTATTACAAAAAAAAAGAAAAAAGTTCGGAAAACATAAGGATCATCACAGCCTCACATACGGTGGTGCCGAAGAAATAGTGAAACAAAAATTACTGGAATATTTAGGCCAAACAGTGAGATACAAATTAAAAGTGAAATATAACTGTCAAGACCAGCAGTAGAGGTTCACACACATTTAAAGATAAAAAGCCGGTAAAAACGTCTTTACAAATAAATATCTGCTACATAATTATTTTAAATAAGCTCCTCGAATAAAAAACAAGGAGATCAACCTAAGATTACGAAATTTCATTAAGTTTTTCACCGTCTGGGGTATTTATTACGTTAAAATTTGACTGCAATTGAAAGAAAAATTTAACTTGGGACCTCAAAGAAGGGAGCACAGAGTCAGTTTTTTCGTTTTGTTTTTCGGCCGTAAGACGTCTAGACGTCCAAATATCTGTGATTTTTTTAAATTTTATAAAAAATGTAATATGTATTTGTGGTTTATGAATCAATGTTTAGTTTTGTATAACAACATTTTCCAATTTAATTTTGAAACTGCAAAACCGAAAGCTCTAAAATCTTGCGGACGTTTTAAGATTACTGTAAGCATGGTAAATCGTTAATAAAAATTTATCCGTTTACCCTCTCACAAAAAATTGATGACGTCATCTCAAAATTTTGCCGAATGGATCATATCTAAAATATGCTAAATATTATGACTTTATACTTATGGATTATCATATTATCAATGCATTCATATCCTGTAGAATTACTTATACAGGGTGATTAAAAAAAATTAATGAGTGACATTTTATTGATCAAAACAAGAACGGTGCACCCTAGTTTCTACATATATATTTATTTTAACTTATAGGGATTATTATAAAAAATAAAATTCGCAAAATCCAACTTTATAATTTTTCGAAGAAACTGAATTTTTTCGTTTGCATTTCAAGTGCGAGGGAAGTTCTGTCTAAATAACTCTAAACCAACTTTTTACTTTCCACGTGTCAGCTAACGAAGTTCGTATTGTAATAGAGTCCATGAAATGGCTATTTTTATGTTCCATGGTCCCTAGAGTACGAAAAATAATTCCCTCCTTTCCGTCTACTATCAATCCAGATTTTTATTCGACAGATAATGTGTTCAACTGTTTCGAAAATGGTTGAAAAATATTAAAAGTGCCAAAATCAGTTTTATCTTATCAAAACTAGCCCCGCCCACCCACCCTCTATTTTCTTGGAAGGTATGTGATTTGCCAAAAACAGTCTTATCCTAGAAAATACTAGCCCCCCCCCCTCTTCTTATTCTAACGACTAATTTTATTTTTGTTCAGTATAAGATCATTCATTTCATTCAGACCGGATAAAATCAATCACTAAAATAGAGGCAGGGTGGGTGGGCGGGGCTAATTATGTTCTTCTGTTGAGTGGGAGTGGAAAAAGGATGTGAAAAAAGTAGAAAAACGCGCGAATCGAAACTTTTTGGTTATACTATTTGCTATAAAATTTATTTCTTATCGCTTTTTGCTAAATTTTATGTATGTTACGAATATTATGGAGATGGAAGATGCTAACCGAAATGTGGCTAATCCAACTTCCCCTCAAAATTTTTCTTAGTAAGTAGGATTTAAGTTTTATAAAATAACATACTGCTGTATTTGTGATTTATGAAGACGTCTTCAAAGTTTTCCCTAGACGTCCCAATTTTTGCAAAAAATCAGAACTTTCTAGCACACTTTTATGCTATAATGTATACGGAGCTCGGACAAGGGTATTCGACAACTCATTGCTTATAGTTTACATTGTTGTTGCTATTATCTATTTTTTATTAATCAAATCAAAAATTGTTTTATTAACGTCGGTATTACACTACACGTCTTGGAATTGACGTACGTGTTGTGATAACCCAAACATCTCGCCTTAAATTGACATGTAAAAAAAATTTGAAAAACCTACGAAAAATTCAATAATTCAAAAATTTGACAGCCCATGCAAGTGGTGGACCCCAAGGTTGGAAAAGTACTGCTAAATAAAACACAAAATCATTTATTCCTCCACTGATAAAAAAAAGCTGCGACTAGGTTGTGCCGGTTGGAGGAATCAAATTAAACGTTGTAAATCAATGCAAATATTTAAATATCACAATTTCATTCTAGAATACAGCAAAATTACGCATAGGGGCCGTTGTAGGAAGAGCGCAGTTTGGGGCTCCTGGTTGTGGCTGTTCTCCCTCCACGACGGTGATTCTATTCTATCGGGAAGCATGCCGCCCAGCACCTTTCTATCACGAAGAAACGTGCCAAGCGAGCAGGCCGTTACGGTCGCAAACTCATGGTTGGAAATCAAGGCTATAAATAAGCTGACAGCGTCACGTCATCCCGACAGCTCCGCTGACTTCTATTCTAGGTCTGCGTCTTTTGTACAGATGGCGCGATAAATCCCGACAGCTCGACTAGGAACCGCGCCCTCCGCTTCTACCACGTGTTTCTGTGTTACTTAATATATCAAACTACAACTGAACAAGTGTTAAAGTTTCAAAGGGAGCAATAAACAACATTTAAATTCGCCATACACTCTCGTGAAATTTTAAACAGCAAAGAATTCTTATCTGAGGTTAAGATTGGACATCAAACAATTTATGATGGAAGCACTAATCAACAAAAATATTTACGTGGTCAAAAAAAACTAGCAAAGATTTATAAAACAAAAAAACATCTGGTCTGATAGAAATATTACGTGAGATTAGGGACTTCAGAGCATGAAAATTTACGTTCAATTTAAATTACACAGCAAAGAAGATTACTAAGGCTAAAATTGTAAGAGAGAGAAAAATTGCAAAGTTAACAAAATCACATGAGGTTAATATTTTACGTCCATTCCAGTTATTGGTTCAATTTTAAGAGCAGGCAATTTGGAGGTTCAAAATGACGTCGGAAGGATGCATCGTTCAAAAAAAAAATGCGTTAAAAATATGTCTCCCAGAAATCTGATCAATGCTGTGGCGCTGTGTAAATAATGGTCTAAATCAAAGGAATAAAATCCACGTCCCACATGACCCACAATGTTGTTAATTTGTCCAACGAGATTTTACAGTTCAAACATGTGCTCGATTTGAAAACACTCTTTCATGGGCGCTGCCAGAACAAAGAATTTACATATGTTAAGTTATGCCACACTCTGTCAACGATTCAAACAAAGAATTTACATTATGTTAAATTATGCCACAATTTATCAACGATTCAAACAAAGAATTTACACGGATATTGAATGATGCCTTGATCCAATTGACTGGTTACTTAAAACCATTAGCTTTGAGAGTTTATATCGTGAACTGTCCCCAGCTTATCCCAAACAAACACATGATAAAAAAACACAAAATGCATCCAGCGCTGCGAGAAAAGCTGCTCGGTGATGTAATTTTCCACGTTGCGAGAAAATATGTCTCGGTGATGATATCGATAATAACTGCCTAAGGGGAAACATTTTTAATCCCCCCATCCACGATAGCATGAATTCTACCGCAATTTCCACGATCCTTTCCCCAGAGTGGAACATCGTTAGGTTGATTTACCTGCCGTAAATGAACTAGTAGCAATCTTGTGTGAGAAATTAAGAACGTTATTATAATGTAACACTTAAGTATATATCCAGAAACCTTATTCATAAAGATGACTCGTAATCCTGACTAAGTGAATTTCAAGAAATCTCCTAGCAAGTACTTTATTTGAACAAAGCATTGACGGTTAAACTTGTGTTAGAACCAGTTAACGCTTAAAATCCTAACATGAACTGTGAATTTACAAACAATACAACAAATTTACACCACATGTTAGCATCGGTCGAAAATCCGCATATTTCCGTTTGGAACAACCGCTATGCAGTGGGGTGCACAGCTACAGCGGCA